CCGTGATTCCCCCAACCCCCATGCGATTCCATCCTCTCCCTGCATTTTATGTGTTTTTTAACAAAAGTTTTTACAAATGTTTTTAAAAAAATTTTACAGATTTTTTTATAGATTTTTTTTAAAATTTTTTACAATTTTTTACAGATTTGTTTTACATATTTTTTAAAAAAAATTTACAAAATTTTTTACTATTTTAAAACAATTATTTTACAATTCTGTTTGATTGTATCTTTGATAAAATAAATAAGTACTATTTGAAACAAATTGATCATAGTTGTGTAAAAAAAATTGATTTCCCTGTTTTGAACCAAACACGAACAAAGGGAATTCTATTCCCTTTCCTGCACTGGACCAAACAGGCAGAGTAATTCAGGGATAATAATCCCTTCCCCCCTGATTCCATTTTTCATGGCCAGCCGGCCGGCTTTGCTTTTTGGTAATGTACATGATCATGATTGATATTATAAATGTATTTTAACTTCTATTTCAAAAATAAAAATATGAAATTCCTATTTTGGTATATTGTTAATATTTTACACCTACCAAAATAGGAGAAAAACATTGATTAAATCCTAAAATGATAGTAGAAAGATAAAATCTACAAAATAGGAGTTAATGGCCTTTACCTTAAAATCAACACAAGAATATTGGCTACTGAACCCAGTGCGCTATAGTGCTTGGGTTTTTGTAAATTGAATTATTTGTACTAATTTTAAATTTTTCTTATTATCTACACCCCATTGCATACTTTGTATTGACCGTATATAAATGTGCATTTTAACAAATTCTTTTATTGCTTACATAAAAGAATGTAATGTGGAGATGCTGGATTTCTGGTTTGAGAAAAATTATCATTCTTAGTTCAATTAATATAGCGGGAGAACGGTATTCACGCTTTTATTGTTTGTGCCGGTATACATTTCAAAAAGTTTGAGTTTTGTTGTTGTGAAAAATAGCTATAATCATTTCTATACTTCGCCCAGGGCCGTCCCAATAAGGAGTCAAACAGTCCGTCCGGGCCGAGCCCAAAAATTCAAGGGGCCCAATTTTTTTTAAACATTATATTATATATATATGTGTATAAGAAGCCCTCTCCAATATGTAAGGCCCAATCCCATCCTTTTACTTATGTTGATAGAGGCACGGAAGACCCAAAGAAGCGGAAGTACCGAACTACGGAACTACCGAAGAACGCACGACAGACGCAGACCGCAGAGTGAATTCACAAAGCTACAGAAGCCTGCCAGACGACGCCGGCCGACCCTTCAAGCTCCAGCCTCCAGTATTCCTTATTTCCATATTCATAGCTTTCCAGTTTCGTAATTTTTGTTTCTTAATTTTCTTCCATTGTTTCATTCTTTAGATTTAAAATCTAGGGTTGATTATTAATTTGAATTTTTTGCTAATTGCTATGAAATAGAGTGACTTAATAGTTCTATATGTCATTTATTTGATTTGGATGAATTGATTTAAATTTATGATATATTGGTGCATAAGAAATTGAAAACTAAAAAAAAATTAAAACTGAAAAATTGACGATTTGATATGAATTTATGGTATATAAAAAAATTAAAACTGAAAAAATATAGAAAAATTGACGAATTGATATGAATTTATGAAATATTTATTTATTTGGTTGCTTTTCCAATTTGCTCTCAAGAATGTAAGGAAAACTTCTCGAATCATCGACTAGCTTTTACGGTATGTAATTATAATACTATAATTTTGTCATTTATTTTTTTCTTCTAATAATATTGCGTTAATTATCATTTAGATATAATTAGTTTACATAAGTTAATTTGTTAGAATATGGAGATAAGATTTTTAGGGTCTTTTTTCTGTTTCGGCCTAGGCTTATGAATCCTCAGGACCGGCCTTGACTTAGCCATTTACATTGCACTGCACAAAAACCCTATATTTCATTGAAAACAACATAGGATCATAGGACATAACTAAAACAAATTATAAAAAGTTAGCGGTTACACACTTTTATATTAAGAATTGAAAACCGAACTGCAGTATTATACGGAGTAATGAATAAGATAGATCTATATGTTAGAAAGGATACTGTGATAACATGTTTTAAAACATTAAAATAAACAAATGTGTGGTCTGCTTGTCTTAAGTTTATAAATAAATCTAAGCTACATAATTCTAACTTTAAAAAAAAGTTGTCCTGAAAGTGAAGATGGAGCTTATCTAGGAACACATGGAGTAGTTGCTTTTAGATTTAACATTTTTAGTTTTGAGTACTACTAAGAGTGCATTGTTGACGTGCATAGAGTCAATGCCCCAAATTAACATACACTTCCTCCATCCCAAATTAAACTTCTCGTTTGTTTTTTCACAAAGTTTAATAAAAAGTGAAATTGTTTGGGGAGACTTATGCAGTGGAGAGAGAATTAGTGTGAACCACCCATTCCATTCATTCTAAGGAATGGAAAGTTTATTTGGGGACAATTAATATTCAAAAATAGAAAGTGAGAAGTTTAGTTTGGGATGGAGGGATTATGTCAGACCATTACAAATTAAAAAGATATTAGTTAATGGGGATCTATCGTATTGATAAATTACATGATTAGTCCATTATTGAATGCTATAGAGAGACTGATAAACTCTGTCAATGGTCCACCAAACCTAAAAACAACTAATTGGCTCTTTCCCTAAGAATACAAAATCAAATGATCAGGATACAATATGAGAAACCCAATAAGAAACAAAAATTTGAAGAAAACGTAAATCTGGGAAAGAAAATACCTAGGGTTCGGGTTGATTTTCTGTCGGCGTGACCACGAGATTCGTGTGGAAAAAGTAGAAGAGGGCAAGTCGGCGGTGATATTGCAGTGAGAATCGACGGCTAGATTTTGGTGGTTGAGTTCGCCGATCTGATGGAGTCTGCGGGGGACATGAGAGAGGTTGGGGCGGAAAAGGATGGACTGTAGTCTATGCAATCTCCTCAATTAATTTTGGAATTTAAGCGTACTATTGTGGATTTGTGAATGCAATTTTGGAAAAGGATGGACTGTAGTCTATGAATCATTGTGTAGAACTGTAGAGATTCTGAAAAAAAATTGTTGTATTGTTTTTAATTAAACAGACAAGATTTTCACATACTTCAATTGTACTACTTTAAAAAATCTGATCAAGAACTTCAAAATACCGGTAAATCCATTACTTATTTAGGTTTTGATATAAGAATTTACAAACATCATCTACATTTAATTTGCATTTTAAAAATTCTGTAATTTATTTCAGTTGCATGTGATAATGCATTCTATTTGAGAGTTGTGTTATGTTGATTAGATAAAAAGGTCAAATAATGGACAGCTTTCTGCACGTGTATCCCACTTTGATTTGTTATTGTGCCAACTTGATATGTTGTGAAGGATATTGATAGTTTTTTTCCTAAGGCTCCACGATCGTTAATGATTTACTGTAGAGACATGATATGTTGGGAAAATTATGGATAGGTTTTTGCATGCATGGTCTAATACTAGTTAATGCTCCAACAATCATAAGTGGTGTACTGATGTTACTTTAGCAATTCGGTTTTATAAGAAAATTGGCCCAAAACTGCATTTTTATGTATCCTAAGAAGTCGAAAACAAAAATTCACAATTGTCATTCAAAGCCCAAACCCTCATTGCCAATTTCTGGGAAGTACAAATGTAGAGCTAGAAATTGGAAAATACTTGTAGTGATTAACATTTATCAAATATCAGATCAACTTTCACTCTTGAATCACAAAGCCACCGTCTTCGGCTGAGTTGACTGAGTTCCCTCATCATGCGCATTCTACAAAGTTTGCTATTTACTCGTCTCCCTACAAATCCAACCAGAAAACTAATTTCAACACCATTGAAGAGCATTGGGCTTTCATTGCCGTTCTCATCCAAGCCTGATAAAGAGCCTGGATTGACTACTAATTTTGGATATTTGAAGTCCTCTGAAGGAATTGGTTGGGAAAGCGGGTCATCTTGGTCTATTGGCTTAACGAAGGAGCATTTTGATGGGGAGGTTGTGGGGAAACAATTACAGACAAACACTTCACACTCGGGAGCTGCCAGAATGACAGAAGAAGAAATAGCTACACTGAACCGTCTTGAGGAGGATGTTCGCAAGTCAGAGGTGTTTGTGAAGGGGTGGGATGGAAGGATGAGAGACATTGCTACGATGATGAAGCAGGTATTTGCTAACCCCACATTTCTTGCTTCTTTTTTGCTAAGTTAATTTGGCTACTTTTTCTCTTCTGTATTTTGCAATTCTTTAGGGGTTTATAGCTAGACAAATGTAGGGCTCATTTGGTTTAGATTTTCAGCTGATTTTGCTTACTCTAACCCTCAGGATTAGCTAGACTAATCTGGTGGTGTGTTTGTTTCACATTTTGGCTAGAATGAGTTGGTTTTCAAATCACTAGGATCTGATTTTTAGAATCAATCAACGGCTTGATTCTCTAGAATCAGTAAAGGCAACTAGTTGATCTTGGGAATTAGAATCATTCAATAGAAGAATAAAAATCATATGAGCTTGTTGGTTCTGCTGGAGCAGTATTTGAATTGGGAGCTTTTTTTTTAGAAAAGAAGATATAATATTCATGTCTAGATGCAACTATTTCAAGTAGGTTATGGAACCAGGGGCGAGGGGATCATATTTGAAAGATTCCGAAAAAACCGAAATGTACAAGAAGCACAAGGCGAATCCTGAGCTATACACTATCGAGAAGCTGGCCAAAGAGTACAGGATCATGAGGCAGAGGGTGCATGCAATTCTGTGGCTGAAAGAGCAGGAGGAGGAGGAGGAGAAGAAACTGGGTCGCCCTCTTGATGGCACCCTTGAGTCCTTGATTGATAACAACCCAGAGTAAGTTTATGCTCATACGATTGAGAACAATGTGGTTTTAAAATTTATAAAAAATGAAATTACTTTTGATGGGGATGACTAAATGGCATATGCAGATTTTACAATTCCCATGATAGAGAATTCCATGTGGCAACCCTGTGTTACAAGCCAGACTTCAAGGTCATGCCTGAGGGTTGGGATGGCACGACCAGAGATCCCGACGAGGTACACTATGAAATATCGATGAAAGAGGATGAGATGTTGTACCGCGAATTTGTCCAGAGGTTCAACTTTAACAAGATGAAGGTTAGCCAAGGCCCAAAAAGAGACCAACAAAGGGTTTTACATGTTTAAAATGTTTGATTAATTCTTGAAGTTGTCCTTCCATTTTTCAGTTTGAGAAGAAAGTGAAGTGCCACAAGCACAGCCGGATGCGGCCAGCACAGGGATGGAACTTCACAGTTGAGAAGTTGGGGTCCCGCGGGAAGCGTGGAAACGGCGGGGGCTGGAAGTTTGTGAGCATTGCAGACGGGTCCACTCGCCCTCTTGATGATTTTGAGAAGATGTTTGTGAAGAGGGAAACCCCGCGGCGTCGCCGAAAGATCCTCCCCTGATTCATTCATTCATCACACACACTGTTTTTATTGCAGTAATTTTTTGTGCAATGTTTTTTCCTTTTTTTTGCAGGAATTTAATTGGCTAATAGATTATTTTTCTTCATTATTTGGATGTAGACTCTAGAGTTTCTGATGCAGTCCTTAGCTATATTCTCTATTTCTATTTTTGTTAAAGTATGCTATTATCCTATGTGTAACCTAGTGGGGCAACTCTATAAATATTGGCTCTGGAATAATAATAAGAGCACTAAAGGGCACTCTATAAATACTGGCTCTGGCATTGATATCTATTTTCTAAACCATAAAAGGCACTCTTGCTCATTTTTTTATTTTTTCTTTATTATTTACTTTTTTACCCTATTTAACTCTTTGTTTCCTTTTCCTATAAAAAGTTTTTAAATTTAATTTCAATTTTTTTATTATGTTTTAAAACAATTATTTTTTTGTGTTTGAAATAAAAATAAAAAATTAACATATACTCCATCTATTTCAAAATAAACATATTCACTTTTTGTTTTCTTAGAATACATTTTTTTGGTAAGTTCACAAAGAAAATTCAGAATAAAGAAATAAAAATATGGAAAAGCAGAATGAAAAAAGTTGAAACATGCATAAAAGAATCTTATACAAAAAAAAGAATTTTTAGCACGCCTAAAAAATTCCTTAGAAATTAGATATTCGAAAAGGATATTCATTTTATTTTTTGTTTTATTCTATACTGATTTTATGAAGTTCTAAGAAAATTTACTTTTTTATTTCGGAAAAAATAAAAATTGTTAATTTGAGACTTACTGATGCAGTGTATGTTAATTATTGCAAGTGATATAACTTGGCCCTTCCTAAATTATATTGCCTTGTTCCAATTTGTTTGCGGTGTTTTTATTTTTAGAAAGTATTACTCCCTCCGTCCCTGAGTGTTTGTCCACTTTTATTTTTGCACACCATTCAATGCATTTCTTTAATCCATTTTATCTTGTAATTTGTATAATAAATAATTATAAAAATTATATATTAATAATCTATATGTTAAGACGAATCAAACAAGATCGCACATGACTATTTTTAGGCTTACATATTGAGAGAATTCGATGAGTCAAAGTGTTTAGATGAACAGTTCCAAAAGTCAAAAGTGGACAAACACTCAGGGACGGACCAAGTATGTGGTTGGACTGGGTTTACTTGTTTGACTGATTAAATCCATTGAAACATGGCCCAATTTGGTAAATAGTTACTATTTTGAATTAGTTTTGTTTAGTTCAAAAGAGGGTGAAAAAGCTACTAAAAGGGACTTTTTCTTGCCAATATGAGTTTTAGCCCCATTTGCTGGTAGTGTTTGATGACTTTGTATTTTCCAAGTTTGCACCTCTCAATATGCCATTACAAATTGACTTCTTTTTTGGTCAAGTCTTGCTTTTTTTGTGCTCGGACGAGATTTGATTATTTCAAATGATGATTTTTTTATGTAAAAAAAAAGAAGAAATTAGGTTGAAAGTGTAAGGATGATGACAAATTAAGAAAATATGTGAAATGGTATAGGTTGTGTTTAGATAACTTGTGCTAAGAACATATAGTATATATGACATTGTTAAATAGAAAAAAGTTTGCTTCGTAGATCAATACTATTTTTACTAACAACCAAAAAGTTTTCTATATAAACTTAATATTGTGTTATATTCCATAAGACATCAGATTTTATTAAGGATGGCTATATCCTTAAACTCAAAACTTTTCTTGTTTTTCGTGATGATCAATTTCACATCAATTGACCAAAACAGAATTAATGTAAAGGGGCAAAACCTTGTGGAGGTTCCCGAAAGGCCTATGTTACCAGGGCCTGTACTTGAAGTGCCTGAATTTCCAATGCCAGAGATCCCTGGATTTCTAAAACCGCAGTTGCCAAGAACACCAAAGCGTGAAAGACCAGCATTTCCAAAACCCGAAGAGCCTGGAATCCCAAAAACATTAATTTCAAGAACGTTGACGCCTAAATCTTCAACTCTTCAAAAGTCTGATCCTAAAGTACAAGGAAAGTGATGAGTTGAGTCACTTTTTCACTTGGGTCAACAACTGAATAATATTTGTTTTTTCACCTTTTTTTCTAGTTTCGTGATGTCTTTTTACTGTTAATTATTACCTCCGTCCCAGAGTATTTGTCCACTTTCATTTTTACACACCATCCAATGCACTTCTTAAATCCATTTTATCTTGTAATTTGTATATTAAAAAATTGTAGAAATTATATATTAATAATCTATATGTTAAGACAAATCAAACAAGATCACACATGATTATATTTAGACTTACACATTGAGAGAATTTGATGAATCAAAGTGCTTAGATGAACAATTCCAAAAGTAAAAAATGGACGAATACTCCGGGACGGAGGGAGTAAATTATAACTTCTCATTTTTAATTATTTAACTTTTTAAAAAAAGTGTTTGTAAATCTTTACGAAATCAGAGTGAATAAAAATAATACTTCCTCCGTCCCAAATTATTTGTCACATTTTTATTACCGAGGCAAAATATCAAGTTTTCTTAATTCATTTTATTTACATATTGGTAAAGAAATAAAAAAATAAAAATTACATATCAAAAAACTACATGAAAAGTTCTTCGAAATAAGAGGTGTCAAGAATATTTTATTTTATCAAATAACCAATGAAAACGTCGAAATAAACAAAAGTTCCCGCGACTGCTGAAAAAGCAAATGTTGTGAATATTTAGGGACGGAGGGAGTATGGAAGATAAATTTACAACATTTTTCTTAATATATACTACGTATATAGATTTAAAGTGAACAAATTAGTTTTAGAGTAGACATGATTAATGGTCGGACCAGGCCAACCACTAGATAACAAAAATTTTGAAGCCCTTACTTGGCCCGCATCACAGGCCTATATTTCAAGCTCAAAATTGGCCCATAAGAAAATTTATGGGTTTTGGACCGGCCCAGCCTGCAAAACTTATCAGCTTAAGTTTAAATATAAGGGAAAAAGAACAAAGTAGAACTAAAACATTGAAAATATATCAAAATAGGACTTCCATGTTTTTATTCCCGAAATAGGACTCACATTACCAAACATGGTCATATACATTACAAAGAAAGTATAGTAACTTGTACATGTACACTGCCACATTACCACAATGCAAAGTCACATGACCACAGTGCAAAGTCCTATTTCGGGAAAAAAAACATGAAATTCCTATTTTAGTACTTTTCTCTATGTTTTAGTTCTATTTAGGATGATTTCTATAAAGATAAGGAATAAAATTTATCTTACAAAATACAAAAGTACCGAGTACAACAATGTTATGCCAATTAATCAATTATCAAATACTTCATAAAAGCTTAGTGAAAAAACATACTATCAAATAATTTTGGATTTTAAATGCCCCTTAAAACTTATAAAAAATATTATCATTGGTCATGGTATAAATTACCACGCAAATGCTAAGTAAAGTAATCGGAAGGGTTGTAGGTGGAAACACCTGTAACCCGGCTTGTTATTAATGATAGTAGGAACTATTACAATCAGTACATGCCGTGTCGATTAATTAAAGCATGCCTCACAAATGAGGCTTTTAGGGGTATTTATAATAATCCTAAGCACGTCAAGCACGTCTCTGATTATCCAGCCGGTCAGTCTTCTGACCGGTCCCTTAGTCATACTTCGAAAATAAAATCTGTATCTCTGGTGCCCGCCCCCTCTTCTAGACCGGTTAGACGACCCGGGTTGAAGAGGTCGCGCGTTGTCACATCTGATACCACCCAGGCGGTCGAACCTACCGGGCTATATCCATGGGTTATTACCCATCAAGGAGTCCTCCGATTCCCGGTCCTGTGGGAACCATCAAGGGTGGGAAGCACATGCGATCGTTCTTTGAAATTCGAACTGCCCAGTCGATTTTTGGTGGGAAAATCGTCCCAGCAAACCAGCGCCAACCCCAAGATATTTGAATTTTGAATTTTTGAAAACCTGGCTGTCAGAGGCGGACGAATCTTTTTGAAATCGGGTACTGAGCCGCCGATTTGTCGTGCCATTTTGTCTCCCCGAGAGGTTATGATGACGAATCATTTCGGCTGCCACGTGTCGTTCTTCCATTCGTCCGTCTGGGCGGCACCCCTCCTATATAAAGCGAGGTTCCCCCTTGAATTTTCTCACTTGCAAATCTTCAACTAAAAATCTACCCGGCTGCTTCTACTTTCCTACGAGTCCTCCGAGTCTTCTAGTTAGGGGTGGGTTCGGTTTTTGCGGTTCGGTTTTCACCCAAAACCGAAGACAAAACGGAAGGTAAATTGGCGGTTCGGTTGGGTTCGGTTTTGCATAAAAAATATGTAAACCGTTGGTTATTCGGTTCGGTTTTATACGATTTTTATTTCGGTTTTTTTCAGTTTTTTCGGTTTATACAAGTAGAAATTTAGAAGCATTAAAAAATTGTAAAAACACTAACTCGATGGAGCAATAACAATATGTTGTGTTAGGTTTGGTTTTTTGGTTTGAGTTCTACACAAAAACAAAAATCAAACGAAGGTTATTGTATCATTCGGTTCAATTTTACATAAAAAAATTATGTGTTGAGTACCCAACAAACATTTAGGAGATTCCAAATACTTCCAAAGACATCGTATGTAAAATTAATTACGAAGAATTTGTGTTTTTTGGTATAATACTTTCATTTTCATTATAACATCAAAGTATTTTTTATGTAAATTACTCGTATCAATATTTAACGTTAATATAATTCTATATTTGGATTAGCTATTGGTGTTTATATTCTTAGATTTTTTAAAAGTTTATAATAGTATGGCTAAAATGTTTAATTAATAGTTAAGAAAATAATTTTAATCGACTAGTAATTTATTTGCATTTATATTTCTATGATTTTTCTACATATAACATATATTTATATAAAAGAAGTGAAGTATCTAAGAAAGTTCGGTTTATTCGGTTCGGTTCGGTTTTTCAAAGTGAAAACCAAAACGGAACCAAACACTAACGGTTCGGTTCGGTTTTTTTATATTCGGTTTCGGTTTTTTCGGTTCGGTTTTTTTTCTAGCTCATTTCGATCGGTTTCAGTTTGGTTTGTGGTTTTCGATTTTCCCAACCCTGCCCTACTTCTAGTCGCTTCCAAGTAAGTCTTTCCTTCTCCCTTTTTGAGTCATGTCTGACCGCGAAGATAGCCAGAACCCTTCCGTTCATTCTTATGGTTCTGGCGACCGGTCTCAGACCTCTGGTTCCTCTTCTTCTTCTTCTTTGTCTGAGCGCCCAACCACTTCCCCGCCGAAGAAGCCGGTTGACGCTTCCACTTGTGCCCCTTCTTCTTCCGTGGCACAAGTGGCCTCGGTTGCCCAGCTTGGGGATGAAGGCTTCATTCAGCCGGACGACCGGTTGCTTCAAGAGCAACCGTCGTACATGCAAAAACTGTAAATCCACGAGCTGCGTAATCTGATGCCTGATGGGTACCAATTGGCGTACCGGGCAACGTGGAAGAACATTATTTCTCTCCACGCTGGTACGACGATTGGTATCCATTACCATTCTATCAAGGACTTGGGTGAATTCTCTATTCACCCATTCAAAGTCCTCTTCCTTAAGACATACGGGATCATGCCCGGGTAGCTGGCCCCAAATGGTCACCGTATGTTGAGCAGTTTTGTCAATGTCTATCGGTTCCTTCGTATCCCTCTCTCCCTCCGTCTCTTCGATCATATGTTCGATGTCCAGCCCGAGTCCAAGGAAACACTTGGATTCGTGGTTGTGTCTTCTCACCAAGGCCGGGCATTTCTCTGTGGCCTTCCTCCTAACAAGAAGTGGAAAGACAAATATGTGTCTATCAAATTTCCCCCGGCTGCCTTCCCTTTTGCCCAAAATGTCTGGGGGAAGAAAATGAAACGCCAGGTCAAACCCGTGGAGACCGACGACCTGGTAGCTTGGGAAGCCACCCTCCGGGCCGGGGACGCCTCCACCCGCAACCTTTACAATGTTGGGAAGTGGAGCATCTATCCCGGCCAGGAGACTAATCCTGAGCCAGAGATTGTCCTGACCGGGGCGATCCCCGACGCCATCCCCATTTGCCGGGTGCGAGGGTCCAAAGCCCCGACCACCGCCACCGCCGGTCCTTCACGCCTGGGGAAGAAGAAGAAGGAGAAAGGTTAATCTACCGCCCTTCTCAACTCTTTCTTTCTTAAAATTTTGCATTTCTTTTTTACTAACCGCTCTGTTTCTGTTTCAGTGGTGAAGTTCCAATCCAAGTTCGCCACTCCCAAGATTGTCACTGAGGAGCCCCCATCTACCCAGCCCCTCAGCCACCCATCCAGCCAACCATTCTCGCTGGAAGAGCATCCGGCCCAATCTCACCAAGGGACCAGCCAACCCATCCACTTCGGGGAAATCTACATAAATGTAGATACCCTGGAGTTCGCTAATATGCTGGCGGAAACCGGCCATACCTTAGAGGCCGGTCAAGGTGGCCAGCAAATTGAGGGGGGCGGGATGAGGAAGAGGCTACTGAAGAGTCTCTTCAAAGGAAAAGACGAAGGGCTGAGGTCGTTAACCAGTCGGCCAAGTGCGTGGCCCAGTCCTCCGATGCCGGCCAGGCACCCGGCGAGCCCCGACCATTCGCTCTGATGGTCCGATCTCATGAAGAGCTCTTCCAAGCCTTCCAATCAGATCTGCAAGAGGTAAATCCCGTGCTCTTTTTGTCTATATTTTTTCTTGTATTCCAAAACTACAGACTGAAAAATCTCCATGTCTTTAAAGCAGGATGGCCGGATTGGTCTAGAGTACTTCACCTGGCTGGTGAAGTCTAGGGACAAGGAGAAGGCCCGGCTGGAGGCCATGATGGTGGAGTTCCGGAAGGATGCACAGGCCGCCCATGCCAAGGCGGAGAGGCGGAGGCGAAGCTCGTAGAGCACTGCGCGGTCTACCGCCAAGCACGACGGTCTTCTCAAGGCTGCAAAAGAGGCCGACGAGCAAGCACAGGAGAAGATCCAACAGCTGGAGGCCGAAAATGCCTGGTCGGCTGAGGAGATTACCCGGCTTGGGGATGAGCTAGAGAAAGAGCGGGCCGAACGAACTTCTCTTGCAGCAGGCTGGGCAATTCAGGAACCAGAGGAGTTCGCCAGGCGGGCCTTCGCTGATCGGGATGCGGCAATCCAGCTGATCCAAGGGCTCTACAAGCATGAGCCATCGTAGAGCACGGGAAGGTGTCAGTCAGTAAAAGTGATTGGTTCCCGTCTGGCTTGTTTTGACCGTGGAGTTAGGGCCACCGTTCCGACATAGAGCTCTCGCCCCCATTTCTTCCTTTGGGAAGCAGAGTCTCCCCCTCCGGCCCGCCGTAGATGACTTGCAAGTGTTCCTTACCGGCTGCTTTTTTCTTCTTGTTCTGTTCGGCCGGTTGTCCTTCGGGCCTGATCCATTGATTCTTATTTTGTTTCGCCTGAGCCAGATATTCTGGATCGAGCTCTCCGGCCTCAATCATCTGCTTGATCACTCCTTTAACACTATTGCACTCGGCAGTGTTATGGGAATCCATTTTGTGGAAGGAGCAATACTTCTCCGCCCATTGTTTCTCGCTGGCCGGTTTCTTTTCTGATTTGACCGGCTTCACCTCCAAGACTTTCGTTTTCAACCTGCCGGGCAGTTCGATTTCCTTTTTCGAGGAAATCTTTCCCTTGGAATGGCCTTGCTCGGCCTCCCTTTTAGACGACACCTGTACCTCGGCGTCGGCGTAGTCCCAAGCCGTGTTGTAGGCCTCTTGGTAGGACTGGGGGGACCTCCGGCAAAATTCTTTGTACAATTCTTCGGACTGGTGTCCGGAAACTTAGAGGGACATAACTGTTTTATCGTCCATCTCCTCCACTTTATCAACTTCATCCTTCCACCAGGTGAGGAATTTGGTCAAATCTTCGTGCACCCTCTGCCCGGCCGTACTCAAGTAGGTAAACTTTTTCCTCTTGGTACAGTTTTCCTTAAATTTTTCCTGGAACACCTCGGCCAGCTCATCGAAAGAATCGATTTCTCCGGCCGGGAGGTTGTGAAACCACTCTACGGCTCGGCCGCAGAGGGTTTGAAAGAAAAGCAGGCATTTTTCGTCCCCGGAAAGACCCATCATCCTCCCGTTCTGATGGAGGGTTTTGACGTGTATTTCCGGGTCTTCCTTCCCGGTGAACTTTGGGACCTCAAGTTTCGCATTCTTTGGGAAACGGGGTCTCATGAACTTGGTCTGTGAACGGAGATTCGTTCAGCAGGATTTTCTTCTTTTTGTCCCGGTCCACCCAGCGCTGTAGTTTCTCCAAACGTGCTTCAACCCAGCCCACACGATCCCGGGGTTGTTCAACATGGGAGCGGATCGTGTGCCTAGGATGGCTCTCTGCTTCTTCTCCTCCATGGGGCGCCCGGCTGTTCTGGGGCTCATCGTGTGGGGGTGGTTCCTTTCTCCTGGTCTGACCAGGTCGCCCGGCCCCTCTCCCCAGACGATTAAAAGCGCTCGCTGGGATTGTTTCCACACCCGGCCTCTCTTTTGCTGACCGGTTTTGATTTCGGCCATCGTGCCCAAGCCTTTGAAACACTGACCTCCTAGATCCCTCAGGTGGAAAGTCATCGTGCCCATGACTTTTGTAATAGGTCCCACGGGTGGCGCCAATTTGATGGTGTAAATTACCATGCAAATGCTAAGTAAAGTAATCGGAAGGGTTGTAGGTGGAAACACCTGTAACCCGACTTGTTATTAATGATAGTAGGAACTATTACAATCAGTACATGCCGTGTCGATTAATTAAAGCATGCCTCACAAATGAGGCTTTTCGGGGTATTTATATTAATGCTAAGCACGTCAAGCACGTCTCTGATTATCCAGTCGGTCAGTCTTCTGACCGGTCCCCTAGTCATACTTCGAAAATAGAATCTGTATCTCTGGCGCCTGCCCCCTCTTCCAGATTGGTTAGACGACCCGGGTTGAAGAGGTCGCGCGTTGTCACCACCCAGGCGGTTGGATCTACCGGGCTATATCCATGGGTTATTACCCATCAATTGGTTTACTAAATCTTATGTTTTGATGTTAACAAACAATTTATGACCTAATATTTGTTTGCGTGTTTTGGGAACGACAAAAATTCATTAACTATCGCTTCTCAAGAACATTGTCATGACATCAAACTAGCGTAAAATATATGTAGAATAAAATGTAAGAATGTGATATTATATGCCTATATTTACAAGCTCAAAATGCACCCACAGACATTTTAAAAACCTTTTTATTGTTCTTTTATATATGTAAAAAGTTTAAACAAAACTGAAAATTATTTGATCCAAAATAACTAAGTGACCCAACGCAAATATGCCTATGACGGTGCATTCATGCAAAACGACCAAAGAAGTATATATTCACTCCTGAAGATTACTTCTTTGCCAAACAAACTATGGTCGTCCTTGAAAATTCTGAGTACAAATATTTGTGTGCGTGGGTGTATTTGTGTGTGTTGGGCCGGACCGCAAGCGGGCTCAAAAATCAAAGCTCATATCCAGCTCTTATCACCTTCTGGCCCCGTAAATTGCAGGCCGGGCTGGCCCAGATAAAAAAATTAAGGTCTGAGCCCGTGTTTTTTCGGGCGGGCCTGGCGGTTATCAGGTATTCAGGTCTATTTTAAAGTAATTGTAAATTGAGAAAGAGGAGGGCACATGATCAGCACGTGTTTTGGTACATCTAGTTTCAGCGCCGGCGGCATTTCTCACATAAACCCTAAACCAGAGATCATCTGATCGTCGACGACGACGGCATGGGAGTTGAGAAGCAAATTCTGAGACAAGGAACCGGTCCGAAACCGGTTCCCGGTCAGACCGTCACCGTCCACTGCACCGGCTACGGTACGGATTATTATCCGTTTCCAATATATCAGCCATTTCTGATTCAGATGTTTTTCATATACTCCGTAAAAAATAGATTCCCACCATTTTCAAAAAAAAAATCCTTTTTACAGGAAAAAACGGCGATCTCTCCCAGAAATTCTGGAGGTAAGTCAGCAGATCTTCGTTTTTCAGATCATCGGCATAGTTTATTTCCTTTGAAATTACGAGGGTGATAAAAAAGGTGGGATCTTTGAATGTTTTGTGGCTATATTTCTGTATTAATAGTTGCAAATTTGTTACTCCGTATGTAAACAGCACAAAAGATCCTGGACAGCAGCCTTTTTCCTTTAAAATTGGTCAAGGAAGCGTTATCAAAGGTACGTTCTGCTAAAGCAGGCCATAGGGATGGAGTGTTTTCAAAAAATTGAAGTTTTGTTTTTGCTATTGTGAATAAGTGATTGTTTAAGTAAAGGTAAAAATGTGTATTGTTTGTATGTTGAAATATAATTTCCCATTTTAAGGCTTTGGAATGTTTAGTGTTTATGAACCAAAACTGTTTTTGTACCCAAAAAAATTTAGTTGTTTATTTTATGAGTAAAATAAAGGACTGACCCTGATTAGTAGAGTAGAAAAGATGTTAATTGGAACAAAACTGTAAATTTGATTAAAATAAGCAATATGCAGAAATTTAAGCATGCATCAACCTGCTTTTAGCTTATGGTTCAAAAAAGTAGTTATTTAAGCTTTTTTTTTAATTTTTTCAAACATGGAAACACCATAGAAAGAGCTTGACTATGCCAAAAGCAAAAAATATATATGGAGTAAATGGTTGCAAACCCTCCCAAAGTAGCTAATATGACTGTTTACTGTAATGTTTTGTTCAATTTCGTGTTGGTACTTAGAAATTTTTATTAATTTGTTCATGTAATTTAGAATTTGATACAATTAATAACAATTGTTATTGCTAATGCAGTACCTAATTGTTTATTATGGATTTATGGGTATTATCTCATTTGTTAATCAAGCAAAAATATAGAATCTAGAGCAACAAGCTTAGTACTCAAACCTTACTTTTGTGGGATTCTACTGGGTTGTTATTGTTGCAACAGACCTAGTAGAATCCCACAATACAGTAGGGTATGATGATGATATGTGAACGCAAACCTTATCTATACTTGGGGAAATAGAGGGTCTGTTCCCAAAAGACCTACGGCTCAACACAAATGCACAAGTAATGTAAAAACAGTACTTGACCATTGACCAAACACCAAAAGCTAACATGCACAGTCTACGGAGTATTTAGGTGTTATTGTAAAAAATTCTCATTGTAAATTTCCGCAAATACCACTCATTGTCTAGCATTTTTCCTGTCCAAGAGATACATAATGGTCAATGATATGGATGAGGTGTATTTACCAGAAAACCATTACACATTAGCACTTACTTGGTACGTATTACTTAATAAAGGCAATACTTCCTTCGTCCAAAATGATCTACACCTTTAATAGGTTGATTCTCACCCAGTTCAGAAGAGAGAGGTTTCAGTATCTTTGTTCGATCATTCAGGTAGATGGGTTGATAGACAGGGATGTTGTGCATTGTATATGAGTCATTCGGATAATGTAGAAGCTTGCTTTAGGGGTCCTTTGCAACATGAGGATTTATGCAAGGATGAAGGAGAAGTTCTATCAGTCAGACCAACTATTCGTTACGGAGCAAAGTGTTGGACAATGAAGAAAGCTCATGTTCGTCAACTGCATAAGCAGAGATGCATATGCTACAGTAGATTTGTGAGCAGAAAAGGTTGGATAAGATTCGGAACGAGGTTATCAGAGGACGGGTAGCAGTGCCTCATGTGGAGGATAAGTTGAGGGAAGTCACTTTGAGGTGGTTTGGGTATATAAAGCGATGAAGTGTTGAGGCTCAGTGCGGAGGTGTGAGAGGAATACGATAGTGGGCGGGGGTGGAGGAAGAGGTAGACCTAAGAAGAATTGGGACGGAGGGAGTATTATAAGCTGTTAAAGAGAACCTTTGATGTAGTTTTTAAATATGTAATTTGTACTTTTTATTTTTATACAACTCTATAGATAAAATCATTTTTAAAAAGTACTAAGAAGGATTTTGCACGGTGTTCGTACAATGTCAATGAATTTGGAACCGAGGGAGTATTATAAGGTGTTAGAGAGAACCTGGTAGTTTGGATGATAGAGTAAATCATGTTATTCAAAGTTTTGCTTTTAAGAAGTCTTTGAAAGTCGTCTGACATTCAATGAAAGCATATACTCCCCCGTCCCAAATTTTTTTACCCAGTTTGATTTTCATGGAGTTGAAAAATATTGAAATGTATGGTTATAATTTGTTGAGATGGTGGGGAAATTTATTGAGCCACATATTTATTATGGAGTACTAAAAAAGGGAATAAATAAATAAATAATGTAAGTGAGAACTTAGTATTAGGATGTCCCAAAAGGAAAAGTGTGTAAAGTTTATTGGGTAGAATGAGTAAAAGAAAAGACTTCCATTTTAGAATTTTTATTGTTTTTTCCCCTCATTAATAACAGTTTATGTATAATGTTGAAGCAGTAGTAACTTGCAAACATGATTTGGTGATTCAAGAATTTCCTTCTTTTCTGAACACCACAAGTTTACAAGTCATTTAAGTCTTCAGATACTTTTCTCACTGGCTAGTGCATATCACATATATTTATACACATGACATTGTTTGCAGGGTGGGATGAAGGTGTTCTAACAATGCAAGTAGGAGAAGTTGCACGCTTAACGGTAATTTCTTCGTCTTAATCGAATGAATAAAAAAGTCATTTTTTTCATCTTTAATTCACTGCATTCGGGTTGCTCTTAATATTTGCAGTGCACCCCAGACTATGGCTATGGTGCTGGTGGATTTCCAGCTTGGGGCATTCAGCCCAACTCTGTTCTTGCCTTCGAGATCGAAGTCCTGGGTGCCCAATAAATTCTACTGCTTGGTTTCCTTTTTTTTTACTACTACTATAGTAATTTACCTTGGGAAATCATCTGTTTTTTTAACTGTGTTACAATAAATCAGACAATGGAGTTCATCAAAATGATCATGAGACACGTGTTTTAACTTGTTGGGTGTGGTTGTTAATTGGTACTTAGTTTTAATTAATCATGATTAAGACATGTTGCAGTTATGGGTCATGTGTTGGTTAGGCATGCTTTGGGATTGGGACTGGGAATGGGTGGGGGGGATTTAATCATGGTTTTGCACTGTTTATGCAGCACGGGCAGTACTGATGATGGGTTTCAACTTGCTGTTTATGGTCTAAAGGTTGCTTTAATGCGCCCATTAGTGAAAATGACCTCCTGGAATGGACATTATTATTTTTTTTAAAAAATACTCCGTAACACTATTTGGGGGCTGGGTGGGGGTTTACCGGTAGAAACCATCAATTTTATGAACAAGACACTGTAGTGACCCTGAGGTTATTCTATGACATGGGGTTCCAATGTCATGAGAATTGTCGACATTATTACTGACTTAAATTGAAGTTTAATTTTAGATTGATAAATTGTGATCTGTCGTGGTACGTGGTTGTCGGAGTTGGCATTATTCATTTGTTTGGGTGGGCATTTTGGGTTTGTTTTAAATGCTTAGACTCGGGTTTGTATTTCATAGTTATACCTTTAGATCAAATATGACAAAATATGTTTTTTTCACATATAGTTCCCAAGGATTGGTTATGAAATATTTTAAGAATTTTGAGGATCATGAATGTACAGTAATATTTTAGAAATGTGGAAAATTTTCTTGTTATGAAGGACTATTTAAAGAATTATCCTAACTAAGAAGTACATTTTAAAACCTAAGTAAGAATAAGGGGTTTTAATGATGAATAATGTTGGATAATGGTATAGCTAAATAGCTAATGCATAATAATAATAATAATAATAATAATAATAATAATAATAATAATAATAAAAATAATAATGGAATGGAGTGCCAAAGTCGCCATGGAGGCATGAACTCAATCATGTTTTCTTTTAAGTGGAGAATTTCCTCTCTTTTGCTTTTCCAAAAGTTTGAAAATATTATCATTAATTTTTTTGTACTCATTAAAAAAAGTGTAATTTATACTATAGTCTAAGATATAGCTAAATTTAATAAACGCCATCTGGGAGAACATGAAGTGTTTGGGATTCACACTCAAACCATATCAATTATTCCATTTATATGGAGTACAATTCATTGTAGGAGTAACAATAATAAATGTTAAAATGACAATATTAACTTTCTCAAACGAGTAATATACTAATACACGGAGTATTCATTAAACAAATACAAAAATCAGAATATATTTTCGTTGATCCATTAATTTTCGCAATTTCACAATACTCTCTTTGACTTTAAGAATTCATGAATGAACAATTTAAAAAGAATCAGGGTAAGAATGCAATTGTGTAAATATAAATAAAAGAATACTCCGTACGAGTAATAAATCTTTATCACATAGGTTTACTCCATTTGTAAAATTTTTATTTTTAAAAATAAGTTAGTGGAAAATTCATGGATACAAAATAAGGAAAAATAAGAAAAATAAAATGAATACTAATTCCCTCAAAAAATAGACCCTCCGTCCCAATTTTAAATATATGTTTCAATTTACGATGTTTGACTGTTACTTTTAATACATTCTATATGAATTTGCTGTAAAATTAAAAAATAAAAATTACTCAGTATATATTTAAAATTTTCATCAAAAGTTTTTCAAAACGAGTCGTAGTAACATTTTTAAAAAAATTCGTAGAACATTTTCAATATAAATAAATTTTGGGTTACATACTATTCCTTATTGAAAAATGAGAAAATAAAAAAAAAAAATTAAAGTGAAATTTCAATTTGGACTGGGGTATATACTTTCCTTTATGCCAATGATAAAAGTATGTACATTAACCCTTCAGGCCTCCTCCATCATCCTTGCCTCCTTTGTTCCCTTTCTGTCCTTCCAAAGCAGTTTTGCAGTCTTCCTCCGAGATCCCTCTCTGTATGTTCATCTTATCATTCTACGGAGTATTTCTTTGCTTTACCATTTTATGCTCTTCTTGTACACTGTTTATGGTTCTCCTGAACCTTTAGCCGGTTTTCCCAGAAAAATCCCTTTGTGTTTGTCTGGTAAATCTACGAATCTGATGGATTTTACTCATTCAAATCTATTTTAAAAATTCATTTCTGGGTTCTTCTTTGTGATTCCATCTTTTCTGCCATTTCTCTTCTTTGTGATTTTGTTTGTGTGTGTGTGTTTTTTTTAAATTTCTTGAAAACCCTAATAATTTGACTGTGAGGAGAATTAGATCATAGCCCGTTTGGTTGTTTCTTACCAGTTAGCAAAGAACTTTCTCAGCCATGAAGCTTCATCTTGCCCACTCCAATTTTTTTTTAATTAATTGGGAAAGTACAGCTTTTTGTGTTAACCAAACATACTCTTAGTTATATATTGTAATTATTCAGTCATCAGTTAAATAACTCATCTGTTCTTTTGTAAACTTTCCAGGCAAAGCTTAGTTTGGCATTGTGTGAAAAGGGTATAAAGCTGTGTACAAATCAGTGAACAAAACATGAGGTGGCTCGGCCTCCCGATTCACGTATTCTGTTATGTTATCTCCTTGAACTTATTCTGCAGGGTGATTTTGTAAAAGAAAACTCATTTATTCCGCGTAAACTATTCTAAACCAATACTCTCTCATCACTATAACTGTCTGATCATCCATGGATCCCCATCACCTATACTTCTCTGCTTGTTATATCTACATGATTAGCTAAAACCTGAAATTGTAGCCTTTGGGTTTTCCACTTCTTGTTTGAGTTTTTGCTGCCCACCCGTTTCATAAAAAAAATTGATCTTTTGTCGTCTTCTTTGACCACCCCTTCTATTGGAGTTATTACTGCCCACCCATTTCATAAAGACTTGATCTTTTGGTTTCTTTTTTGACCACCCATTTTATTGGAGTTTTTACTGCCCACACTTTGCATAAAGAATTGATCTTTAGGTGTCTTGTTTGATCACCCCTTCTATTTGAGCTTCAAACAGGCATCACGGTTTGGTTCTTCTTAAGCTGATTTGAAAAGATTGTAAGAAGTTATGGCGTGCCAAGCGGCAAGTCAGACAAATTTTCGGGCCTTAAAACACGAGAGTGGGATTCCTGGACGAGCAACCATTGTAGTTAGAGTCATAGCATGCTTCCAACCTTTGCAGAATTGCCAGGTTTGTGTCCATTAAAATTATCTTATATTTGTTCATTTACCTGATTATTACTTGAAATGACATTAATGTTTTTCCCCACTTTTTCATTTCTTTTACCAGGCCGAGTACTTCCGCCAGTTGCTTAAACCCGTCACGTAGATTATCTCTGTGCTTCCATTGTTGTGCTAACTTTGAAAGTTTTATTATTATTTTTCTTTATTTTATCTCTTGTTGAAATTTGCATCGGTACCCGGACCACAAGCATCAATCTTTGCACGGTATGATGTCGAATTCTTTGTTACACTTTCTTGATTAGTATTGAAAAATGTAAGATAAATGTCCATACTTCGACAAAAGTTCAACCATGTTCATTGTTCAAGTCGCAAATATCTCGCTGACCAAATATTATTATGGATTTTAGTCTCAGTCTCAGAAGATTGACATTAAATGCAGGTTTTAAACTTGACTGAATGGTTACGGGCAGTGTACCGCAGCCACCTTACTCGCAGCTTCCTGCATGGAATCCAAACCATGTATCTGCCCTCTTACAGCTTGGGCAGCCGGTTAATCTGCCCTTTTTCGCAGATCCTTTTCCATTCACCCCTGTTTCTCAAGGGGTTTCGACTCTGCTCCATGGCTCTTCTCGTGATCAAGAAGCAACTCGGCAATATCAAAGAGAAGAAGCTCAATATCCCATTGCAGGGAGAAAAAGACATGTTACGGCACTTGATGGCTCTTCTCAGAAAAAAATTCTGATATTCGACCAGTCTGGGGATCAAACTAGGCTGTTCTTCGGTCCTTCGTTCTGTCAGAAGGACCAGAAAACATTCCATGATTACAATAAGAACAACAATCATCTGAAACACATTGTTGAAGAACAGCAGAATATGAATGTGACCTCTCAAAGTAGCTGTAAAGAAAGCGAAGATTCCGAAGATATTGATGCCTTACTATACTCAGACAGCGATGACGAAGAAGACGATGATGTCACTAGCACGGGTCACTCCCCATGCATAGATGATCATCATCACAAGCAATACACAGAAATCACAGATGAAGGTGTTGCCAGCTCCGATGATATCCGTTCCTCAAAAAGGCAAAGACTGCATGATGATGATGACGAGAACTCATTTACTGACGCTGTAAAATTGACAAAACTGCCTTTAACCCGCGGTAAAAAACACGACGAAGAGGGGTTGGGTTGCTCTAATCGCACCCCAGATGACAAAAACAACCCGGTAAAGTCCCGCAAAACTGCAGGGTCCGGGGAGGGGGACTGTACCCTATGTAGATGTAGAGAGGCTGTTTCCAAGAGACCTTCAGCTGAGGGCAACAACCCAGATGAAAGCCATGAAAATGGTGAGGATAAAAAGGTCAAAATCCAGAAAACTCTGAGGATCTTGAGGGGTTTGATTGCGGGTGTGAACAGTGATGACCCTTTGGTGGTCATAGATGAGGCAATTAGTTACCTCAAGCTTTTGAGGATGAAAGTGAAAAGAAGACATGGGGGGGAAAGTTCAAACCTTTGACTTGTTGACCAAAGGGAGATGATTAAAGGCGTGTTTGGTGGCATGTTTAACGGTGGTGGGTGATTGAGTGCATGCGTGTATGGGGGGGGTCCCACAGCTCCTCCATTTGTAGATGAAAAAGGAAAGCCATTAATCTAATCTTGTCTTCAAGTCTGTTTTTTTTTTTGATAAATAAATGTATTGTTTAAAGTTTGGCGTGCGGTGTTTTTTTAGGATAGTTGATCTGTTATGGGACCCACTTTGTGTTGGGTTGCTATGATTATATTTATATCACTCATATTACTCTATTTGTGGTATGTATTTGTATTTGTATTTGTGATGAATTATTACTCCTTGTTTCTTTGTTATTTTAAATATTCTCTTTATTTTTCATTTCTTTTAAAATTTATGCAGAACAAATAAAAATAAAATGAAAAACTCACTATGTTTATAGTGAATGTAGATTTTATTTTGAGGCATGCAAAAAGAATGATACTACCTCCGTCCCATTTTAAATTGCCTGTTTGCCTTTTTTCTCCGTCCCAAAATAAGTTGCATGTTAATTGTTTTCGTAAATTTTTAAAATTAAAATACTTCTAAAATAAGTTACTCTTCTCCACTTTATCTTCTCATTCATCGTCATACCTCCTAAAAAGTACTGACAATTTCAAAAAATCAACTCTATTTTTTCTTTTCTTTAAATATGTCCAAAAGTCAAAACAAGCGATTTAAAATGGGACGGAGGGAGTAGATGATAAATTTATTTCGAGATAGAAATAGTGGAAGTAAATATTTTTTATTTGGTGCAGCCAATCTCACAATCTTCTCATTAAATTAAATAAATAATAATAATATTACGGAGATAAAGAAAGATGATAAAACAGTAAAAGTTTTTTTTTACTGAAAAAAAACAGTAAAAGTATGTGATCAACATTTGTTTAAAGAAGAAAGAAGATTGAGAGTGCATATACATGTTACATCCCTTAAAAAGAAATCTAAGGCTTATTTGGAACAACACATAAAAAGTGAAATTTATTTTAGCCGAGGAATGTATTATTCGTTCGGTCCCGAAATTGGTTACTCCGTATAATGTTTTTTGGGATTTAGCACTTGATTACTTTTGTTTGATCGTTTTTGTATTTTCAATGATTATTTGATAAAATAAAATATTTTTGTAACTTTTCATTTTGTTAGAATTTTCAACATAATTTTTACTATGTAAATTTTACTAATTATTCTTATACCATTTTTCAAATAAACTGTTTTTAAAAAATGCTCCCCCGTCCCTAAATGGTTTACATAATTTACTATTCAAAAATCGTGGGAATTTTTATTTATTTTTGTGTTTTCATTGACTATTTGATGAAATAAAATATTCTTGTCACCTCTTCCGGTCGAAATATGACTTTCAAATTTAGTTCGGAATTAGTCGATGTTGCCAAAGGGCGTGGCGATGCTATACGCAAAACGGAGGACAAATCATTGCACAATTTAAATAAAAGATAAAACGGTTTTTTGATGTACTTTTTAAACATGTAAGTTTTATTTTTTTACTTATATACTAATCTTTAAATAAAATAAATTAAAAAATCTTATATTTTACTTCATTTTGTGTAAAGAATGAATGATTATGGACGAAGGAGTACATGATTTATCTCGTAGATACGAAATTGTAATCTAATTTGAGATAGATCGAGTATTTGCCCATATTGTATTGGAACAATAATGCATTCCTAGCTGTAGTGTAGACACGCACGCACAATTTGTCTTGCTCCAAATGAGAGCGTGGGGTATAGATGTCTTTTGCTCTTATGGGAGTACTATATTTAGGAGAAAAAAAGTTGTTAGGGACAAAATAAAGCAGAAAATATTTAATAAATTTATTTAACTATATTAATATAAAATATAATTTTATTTATTTATTAATAAAATTATACTAGTTTAAGTACAAAAAATAAACTTGACAAATACTTAAGACATATATAAAGGAGCATTTTAAAAAACCCTTAGCTTGAATGACAAGAAGATGACTTCCAAAGATTTTATGAAATGTTCATCTTGATTGGATTTTCAATGAAGGCATTAGCCCAATATATACATTATTAAATTTAGAAAAGGATAAACGGATACTAAGTTGTACTCCCTGTCTCCCTCCGTACCATTTTATATTGTTTGTTTTGACTTTATGACATATTTAAGGAAGGAAAAAGTGGTGTGATTTTTCATAAATATCTTACTTTTTTTACGAGGGGTGGTGATGAATGAGAAGATAAGGTGAAGAAGAGTGACTTATTTTAGAGGTAGTTTAGATATTTTATCCTTAAAAGCTTATTATTATAAGAAATATGTAACTTATTCTGGGACGGGCAAAAAAGAAAAACAGACAATTTAAAATGGGACGGAGGGAGTAATAAAGTGGATAACACTAAAAAACAAATCATATTTGCAGAAATGAGTTGTATGAGCACAAGATGTACACAAATTTTACATTTGCTCATAAGGGAGTAAGATATTACCGAGCATTTTCGAAAGATCGACGAAACAAATGAATTGCTATGCCAAATCTATTATTAGAACTTAGTTACCATAATTATGAGGTCTCGGGTTCGGTAAGAAAAATTGCTTGAGATGAGATACCTAGTCTCTGAACTGATAAACAGACCCAGACAAATATCTAATGTAAAATATAAACGTCTCACACTGCGCGTAACAGTAATTGAACCCGGTCACAACACCGTTTTGCATCCCTCATTGGCTACTTTAGTTTTGCCCGGGGTGGNCGTGTAGGTTAAATGGGTGAAGATGCAGTGGGATAGGGTTAAAATGGGGTGTGACTGTGTACATTGAGAGAACACTCACAAGAGAGCATGTTGTATTTATACTATATTTGACAATAGCTTTTAATGTAATTTATACACTAATATGCACTATTAAAAAATATTTAAAATGCTAACGCTAATTACAAACATTATTTCCAAATTAAATCGCACATTTTGCTCCAAATAAATGAAAAACCACCCATTATGCTTCTCTTCATGAGCATGTCAACTGCCAAGTTAGAAACCTCAAACCCAGAAACTTATTTTAGAAATGACATCTTATATATGAACAATATAAAAAAAAATGAAGTTTCAAAGGTAGTGTGGGACAATTTTTACCTTCAGTGGTAGGTGGCCCTAGTCCCCTACCAATGAAGGGTAGAAAGACAATTTTAGCACAATTGAAATATACACATAAATCCAGAAAAAAATACGCCAGAAATTTGAGCCTTTAACGACGATGAGCTCAGTTCCCGTGGATCCTAAGGCGATCCAAGATAGACTTGCCATCAAGTTGATTGCTCTGCTGGGAGTACATGAAGTCCTTATACTTCATTGCAGCATATCTTGCACCTTGGCTGCTGCTCGTGCTTCCCACGAGTTGAGAAGCGGGCCCCACCGTCGTCTCTAGCGATGGGCCGTGCGCGGTGGCAACTGATATTCTGGTGGCTCTGCCATTCACCACCGCTCTGTGCACCACACTCTTGTATTTCCCATTGCTGAATATCTGTTCACTCGACACGGATAACTCACTGTTATGGACTAAAACCAGGGTTGTCCTACATTGGTTGTATGCAACCAACAAATGAGGGGTTTATAGACCAAATGGGCTTTCTCACATTTGGGATGAGTTTCATGTTTGGTCTGTAACACTAACACACAGTTTACTTGACATGCCCATCCAATTTAGTGATAATACAGAGAGGCACAAGAAAGAAGAAGAGATTACCTCAAGGTGGTCGCCGGTGTTAACCAGAAGGGAGTTGGGAAGGGCATTCACATTGACCCATTTTCCTTCATGCATTATCTGCAACCCTCCAACTTGGTTCTCTATGAGAATGGTTAGAAGGCCATGATCCGAGTGAGGTGGCATCCCCATTGCTAGCTCAGGCTGGGGGCAACGCGGGTAATAATTCCCAATGAATATTTGAAACATTGAGTCCAATTCTAAAGCGTTATAGATGGCACGCTCATCCAGATTCAGGCTTTCCGATATTGCCCCCAGTAATTTCTTAGTCACGTTCCTGCTACTTTCACAATACTCCAACATGATGTCCCTGCAAAAATTGATGACCCATATGAATTCACGTTTCTGATTCAGTCTCTAAATCTTAGCATCTGTTCGATTCCAGGAGAATAGAGGAAGGATATTAGGGTAGGGATGGATTCTGCTCCCTTCTCCATCTTTGGCAATACAAAAATGTAAGACGGGTAATTAAGAAGATATACTCCCTCCAATCTCTAACGGAGTGACTTCATGATATAATTAAGAAAAGTGAAAAGTACAACCACATGTTAATGTCCTAAAAGAGAAAGTAGAGATGTATATAGTTCATTTTGGAACACCAAAAACGAAAAGTTTAAATTTTATTTTGGAGACGGGGATCTTCTAATGGGAGAATACTGGAAAATACCTGAAAGCCCGGGGATCAGAAGGACAGTGAAACTCAGGATGCACAAAGACCTTCAAGAAATCTCTCCAGAAGAGGGCTTTCTCTTTTGAAGCATTGAAGCTGGTCCCACACCTCACTGGGTCCAAAACATGTTTTCCTTCAAACCGCTTCTTCTCCTCTTCCGGCATGTTAAAGAATTTGTCAGTGACCTCAATCACTTCCCTTATCAAACTTTCTGGAATACCATGATTCACCACCTGCCATCACAACCCGATGTTATTAAAGAAGACCAGAAAACAAAATATTTGTAAAAGGTTGTGTAGGAAAGAAAAGGTATACATACCATAAAGAAGCCCCACTTTTCGCAAGCTTCACCGAGGTCTTGAATGGCCTTGTACCATTGATCACTCTGGTTTGAGGTGAGATGGGAGAAATCAATGACAGGTATTGCTTTCGAATCCTCAGGAGATGCATCAAGACTAGTTGAGTGAATATAGTGAGAAGGGATGGAGTTGAGGTCAGGTGATTCAGAAACCACTTTTACAGTTGAATAAGTATCAGAAAATTGTGCTACAGCTGAAGTGGCCATAAATGTCTTGGTTTGTATAGTATACCAAGAGAGAAAGAAAAGGATAAGATGGGTTCTTGAGGAGGAGGATGATGATGAACACAATCTGTAGCTATTTTTGTAGGGAAAGGTCCTTTTCTCAGCAATTTGTCTGTAATATGAGAAGTTGACAGCTATTCAGGGCCACATCCAAGTGGCTAAACATTGACTATTTTATGTTAAGTCCATATACTCTTCTTCTTCTCTGTCCCTTTATCTGAACCTGGCCTGTATGTAAAGCATAGCCATACCTGTATCTCTCTTGGTAACATCAACCCACACACATTCTATAGCTATTCTTTTGCCATGCTTATCAACAGAACTGTTGGATACATAAGTAATAAGTTGAAATGCCATAGCTACCATGCATTGCAACTACTTAGGGTTTGCTTTTTCTAAGGGGAAAACAGAACACAATGAAACAACTTTCTGCAGCAACTTTTTTCCTTTCCATACCATTTTTCCACAATCCAAACATGCCCTAACTTTGTTCTTGAGTTCTGGGGTAGAATTTACTATTTCTCTTTCAAGATCTCAGAGCTGGTGGCAATATAGTAATGATGCCATGATGGTAACAAACTAACAATTTACAAAAGCAATTCATATAAGATGTTAGCATAGTTTAATTATATGCCTAACCTGCATAAGCTAAACTTAAGAGCATAGAGATCTATCATTAGAGTTCCCATATCAAAACTGTTGATGTAATCTCTTTAGAGTTTACACCCAATATTTAATCAAACAATAAGTTCAAGAACACTGCAATAGAATATTCAAAATATACAATTGGCTACTCTATCAAATTCCCCATTAACCAAAGATGCTAAAAATCATCAAAATTTACAGCATCAGAAGAACCCAGTAAATCTCTACCTCTGCAACAAGTCACTTCAAATTGAGTCTTGAACTCTGCCCATGGCTTCTGAAACCTCAGTAAATCAGCCCCCAATTTCTTATCCGCCAGGTTTACACAAGAAATTAACTTCGAAGCTTCTTTCCAGTTTATATTAGGGTTTTTCGAACCTGTGACGGCGATCTTCGCATCGAGAAAAGCTCCCGAACACTTCTGCTTCGCGTATCCACAGCATCTGTCCTTCGCCTCTCTGAGGCAAGCCTCCATTTCTCTCTCTTCGCATTTTTGCCTCTCCGAGAATTCCTGTTTGGAAGCTCCGCCGCCGAATGCGAATCTCCACCAGGGAGGCTGACATTTCATGGAGGCGGAGACGGAGCAGCCGATTCGCACCCCGGCTTCGCATTGCTGGGTGATTTGGTGCTCGCAGGACTTGTAAGCCGATGCCCATGAATGTGGGTCCGGGAACGCGAGGGCGAATTCGCCGGAATTAGGGTTGGTTCTGATCGGTCCGCGGAGCAGCGGGACCGGCTTTTCGAAAACTACGATCGTATTTGCCGGCGAGTACTCGTTCGTCGGCGGTGAATCCTCTGCTTTCTCCATCCGGTTGGAGTTTAGAAAAGGTTTTGACTTTTGACTAGTGGATACCTCACACATGTAAAGTAGAGTTGGTAGACTTCATTTTGTTGATTTTAAATTAATTTTATTAATTTAAATTAATTTTATTAATCTTCTGCTTTCTCCATTTTATTAATTTTAAATTAATAAAATATTTATTTTTAATCATAGTGCTCATTCTAATTTTGTTCAGCATAATATTCGCTCTAAAACAACACTGTTCATTCATTTCAAAATAACGTATTCGAAAAAAAATTATTTACAATCTTGTCATTAAACATGCAAAAACGATTTGAAGCTTTGATATGTAGGAATCCAAAACAGCCCACATAATTCAATGGATCAAATATCAATTTGAACTTGGATACGAAATATTCCCATTATGTGAGGAGGCGATTCGACTATTGCCAAGTGCCAACACAAACAGTCTAATGCTGGACCCTCCAACATTAGGGAGCTCGCACGTAAACGGGACTCATCTACAACCCTATAGAAAAATAAAATATCCATCAACTTTAAACAATCAATTGGGGGGTTGTTGTCGTCGCACTTGGGTATGTCTACTCTCAATTTAGACATAGGGTGTGCTGGACCATGGGGTTTGGCGCTGTTTAAACGATGGCCAAACATGGAGTCTACCGTCATTTTTTTCATCGTGAGCAAGAAAGGAGGCCAAGTTGTGTTGCACCTCTTGGACAATTTGGTTGAGCCACCGTGGATAAGTAAGTAACGAATATTTCCTGGATTGAAAATTCAGCTACTTTGACAAACACGAAATTTTACCTTGATAATCATTATTTTATTAAATTTTAATAAAATCTTCCTTCAATTAGTCAAAATAACACTTTCAACCATAATGCCTAAATAAACGAAATGTGCCCTGAGAATATAATATAACAAATTCGATCTAAGGACTCCGGAGTATATTTCAAATAATGTTGACTTAAGAGTTGTTAATTACCAACAAGATCGAGGGTACTCTAAATATAGTTTTGAAAAAGGGAAAATTGAATTGGGGATTCTTTCTAGAAAATAGAGGTTATCTGGGAGTCATTTTCTACACTTCATCCGACATACTGGCACATTTTCTAACTATTCATTTGAAGAAAGTGTACAAGGAAAATCAAAAGAAAAAGGAGCAAAACGCTTTTTCTTATATAACCATTCACTTGCTAAAATACATAGTATAACAAACGTAATTTAATATAACAAGTATGGATGGAGATTTTTAGAGTTTAATCTTCTTAACGTATTCTTATTAATCACAGATTATAATTTTTCTTATTGAAATCATATCGGATCTGATCAAATTAAACAAAATTAAATATAACTGTAATTCAATCAGGTCAAATCTTACCATTGGTTCAATGTCTTATCTTATGGAATGACATGTTATTCTACCTCTTTTTCTTGTGATACTATTTTTTCGAAATGATGAATTGAGCTTTTACAATCAAAGAAATAATAATAATAATTAAGTCCAAATAAATAAAAAGTAAAATCAACATAAAATGAAGACTTTTATTTATCAAATACTCCTTTTTCCAACAATAATCTTCTCATTGCGCGTTAAGATCTTTGACTGAAGTTATTTTAAAATCTTTTTGTATAAAAAAATGGTATAAAATAAAAAATAAAAATTACATATTTCAAACCTGCATCAAAAGATCTACAAAACTAGAGGTGCATCAAAAATTACATATATATATATATAGGGATTGACTCCAGTGAGATGACACCTTACGGTGAGATGACATGCTTCGGTCAGATGACACAAAGCTCACCACACTACACTACAAAGCTCACCAATGGACAATGCAAAGCTCACCTGGAAATAAAGCAAAGCTCACCACTTTGAACTCCAAAACTCACCTTTTTTTAAATTTTAAAAATTAAAAAATTAATTAAAAATAAAATAACAACACTGGTCAACTACCGGTCAACGGCAGCGAAGCAGTAGCGGCGGCCGGGGTCCGACGGCGACGTCCGGTGACGGCCGGCAGTGGCGGCCGGAGTCCGGCAGCGGCGATGGCTTCCGGAGATCGGTGACGGCGGCCGGCGACGGCTGCCGGAGATCGGCGGCGGGCAATGCTGGCAGTCAATAGTCAAAGTCCAGTCAGCATCCCTTCGTTTGATTTTATTTTTTGGAAAAAATTCAAAGTGTTGAAAAAATATGATTAGCTTTGCCTTACACTTTGGTGAACTTTGTAGTTGTCTTTGGTGAGTTTTGCAGCGGTCAGTGGTGAGCTTTGTGTCATCTGACCGAAGCATATCATCTCACCATAAGGTGTTGTCATCTCACCCTTAGTCCTATCAAGATGTAACGGTGCATTTTCAATTTCACATGTGATCCAACAATCCTATTTCAAAGTGGCAATTTTGAAACAAAAACCCAATTGATGGACATTTATTGCTCTATATTTCTATTAGAAATTGCTATTTACGGTTTTTTCTCTGCATTCTAATTCCGTTTTGTGACCCCGTCCTGCCCTCTCCCCCCTTTGTGCATCAGCGATCGGACGACCAGAGGGAGTCCATCGTCGACAATCGTCCTCTACTTTCTGACTTTCATTAGAACTTTGATTGTCCTCTTCCGTCCTTCCGTGCATAGAGCCAATGGAAAACAGGGGTTGTATCTCCCCATTATCCCACGATTTCAATTTCTCCACTAATTAGAGTGAGTCGTGTTTATATATCTGTCATTAGCATTAGTTCATAGATTAGAATCATAATAGAATGAATTGTGCAATTAATTGTGGAATTAGATGAATTGAATGTTGAATTGGTTGTTGAATGTGTTTGTTCTGAATTTTGAAAAATTATTTCATAAATAGTCCTTTTGGCCAAATATGAGTTCATATTTTTCTACACATAGTACGTGAAGAACTAATTATGGAATAATTTTCTTCCCTCAAAAAGAAAATTATGGAATAATTTTCAAAAAATAAGGATAATTTATAATAGCTAAAAACTAGGGTGTAAATATGGTTAATCACTTTTAATTAAGGACCATTTATTAAATTTATTCTTTTTTTTTCTTACAAGTACTTGCATAGATGCGTGACTCCTTTAATAAACTGTCTTGCAAGGGAAGGCAACAATTCAAAGTTACTTAAAATAAAATGTTTAAGGAACTAAACTAACCCCCTAAAAGTGCGGGATATAACTCACTTGCAAGAAACATGCACTCATGACGCATGTCACCTTTTCATTAGTAATAACCGGAAACCAAGTAGTAAATTTTTTTAAGTATTTTTAATTTATTTTATTTTTTTAAAGGTTCATATGAAAAATATAAAATATAATTTATATATTTAAGAACAACGTAAAACGGTTTACTAAATAAAATGTAACAATCATATTTTGTTTTATCAAATAATCAATGAAAATGTATAAATAAACACAAGTTTAAAAAGAAATTCTTTTACTTGAGCTTAAATCATACTCCTCTGTCTCAAAAAAGAGTTTACGTTTCATTTTTTGCGCATCTCTTAAAATATTTTTACTCACATTTAAAATGCCTAAAATTGATAATATTTGTCTTTTATTGTTGGTAGAAGTTGTTTTAAAAGTTTTTTATAAACATTTGAGATGAGATAAAAGTGTTTTATAAAATGCGCAAAAAATGAAAAACAACATTATTTTTGGGACGGAGAGAGTATCATTTTTATAATTAATCTCCTTGCATATATATTAGCAGCTTCATCAATTCTTCTTTCACTTCTTCATAATTTATAATCTCACAAATAATATTTATAATACTCCTCCAGTCCTTACTCATGAACGTCCGGAGTTTGGTCGTCTTTCTCCGTCAGTACTACCGGGTTGGCGGCGGCAGTGGACGGACTCCTCCGTCAAATTCGCCGCTTCACCGCCTGGGCTACGGTGGCTGCAGCACCACTACTCCAAATTATTATTATCTCATGATGAACCCCGGATTAAGGATGTTCAGTAGCAGCAACACCCAAGATAATCCATATAATCCCAACCCTCTTTTGTAAGTTTGTACCTTTAACTTTTAATTATTCTTTTCTCCAAAATTAAACTTTTGTTTGATAATTTTCTTCTTCTTCTTCTTCTTCTTTTAATTTCAAGTGTTCTTTAATTTTCTTGTCTGGTTAATTGGTCATATGCAGGCAAAATAGAGAAGAAGATGGAAAGAAAGATGCAAGAGACCCCTTAGGTTCTTCAAAGTTCAATATTTTAACGTGGTACGTCTGTTTATTATAATAATGTTACGTCTTTTTTTCACGTGATTTGACATTATATTTCTCATAAATACACACAGACAATATATGTTACCGCAAAGTACAGACAGTTATTATCCCATTTTTCAGTTTTTTATGATTAATTATTTCATTTGCAGGGCAAAATGGATCATTGGGTCTATGTTATCATTAATTTTCCCATTTTTGAAAGGGGAGTTAGAGGGCATCCGGAAGATAGAAGGTTACAAGTTCTTTTAATTACATTAAGGTCCCGTTTGGTACACGAAATTCAAATTATGGAATTGAAATTGAGGACTTCAATTCCAATTTAGATGTTTGGTAGCACAAAAAGTATGTGGATTTGGAATTGACAGTGCAAAAAATGAACTGGAATTGGTGAATTCAATTTTATGAAATTGAATCTTATAAAATTTCAATCTTAATTCAATTCAAATTCCATCAATTTCGTATACCAAACGGACCCTAGGACTCCGTTTGGTACACAGAATTCAAAATATAGAATTAAAATTGAAGACAATAATTTCATTCCTGCTATTTAGTAACACAAATATATGTAGATTTGGAATTCATAGTGCCAAAAATGAATTGAAATGGGAGAAATTAATTTCATCCAAATTAATTCCATAGAAATTGAACTCTCATTTCAATTCCAATTCTATAGATTCTGTGTACCAAACATACTCTAATTTAATTTATGCCGGTCGTCCCTCAATGAATCCAATATACATAATCACATGAATTATTATTGTTATGATTATTAGGAAAAGTGGAAGGAGTGGCAGAGGAGGTGGAGGAAGTAGCAGAGGTGGTGGAAACGGTGGCGACCACCGTAGAGAATGTGATAGGAAGGGTGGCGGATAAGATTCCGGCGAATACCCCATTGAAAGAAGCAGTTGAGGCGGTAGAACACGCCTCTGCTCATCTTGCTCAGGACGCTCATTACATCACCACCTTCATCCATCAAGTATATATATCCATTCCCTTTTTATATACTCCCTCCGCCCCCAAAAAACACTTCCTATTTTGATTTTTTCAATCAAACAATGATACGTTTTTTTACTACAAATTGTGAGAAAACTATATAGAATAATAATATAAATTTAATATAATTAAATTCATCTTAAGACATAGTTTTGATATGTCAAATTTTTATAACATTTTTATATTTAGATTATGTTTAATTTATGATCAAAGAGGGCAACTATTTGACTGAAAAAAGTCAAAATCAGAAATATTTTTTCGGGCGTAGAGAGTATTAAAAACTAAATGAATCAAAATATTCAAATTGAAGTAGAAATTTATTATACACCCAATTTCTTTTGTTTCAAAATAAAATATTTCTTGTGTCCCAGTATATTCAATTAGTTTGATTTTTTGAGTGAACTGAATGATTTTTACACCTTAATTACTCTTAATTTGTATTTCATATTAATACAATAAGGTAAAACTTTAAAAATCCTTAACATGATGAATCTAATAAATTCATGTTCATACTTTTATACGACTACATAATTGTCTTTATTTAATTAGTTGTCTACACCAATATTATGGTGTTTATAATACTTTGGGTGTCTCAACCTCTTGAGCTAATCTTTAGCGTTGAATTGAGCTTAAGTCTGTTATTTCATATGGTATCGAAGTTAAAGTCATTGAAGATGGGATCGCCCGCAGTTATCTGCATGTCGTATTATGAGACGTGTTGAGTTATACTCATAACACATCGGCTGGGTACACCAATATTATACTCCCTCCGTCCTAAAACTTTCTTCTCACTTCTCTTTTTTCTCTATCCTAAAACTACCTTCCCATTAGAGAAAAAAAAAGATGACAAATGACATTAATATCCTCATGTATTTACACCAATTATCTTCTAACTCTATATTTTGAATGATTGTAAAAAAAATTCAAAAAAACTTTCTTAAGGGGGGTAAAATTTGAAGTCTCAGCTAAAAATTAAAAATGAGGAAAATTCAAACTGTGAAGAAAGAATTAGGACGGAGAGAGTAGTGTTTAACAATGGCTTGAGTGTCATAACAATTTCTTGAATTCATTTTTGTGATTGAATTAGCTTCAAGTCTATTATTTCATAAATCAAGTTTTAAAATTGGCAGGTAGAGGACGTGAAGGACGACATTGAAAAATTGGAGAAGATGATTGGGCCACTTGTGGGAAATGTCACAAAGGACTGCCAACAATTACAAACTGCTACTACAGAGTAAATACGCTAAGCAATACTTCCTCAAAGCGGTGAATCTCTAATTAATTACCGTGTTGATATTAAGTTACTTTGATTTCTGTGCTGGTTAAAAATTACAGTAAAAATGATTCATCTCTGTTCATCCTTGTAATTTTCTCCGCGTGTATTTGGGAAATACCTGATAGAAGATGGAGTGGAGTCATTCTTTGATTTCATTATTTGGGAGTTGTTTGGTTTTGTTATTTGAAAGTTGAAAACTTGAAATTAATTTTTTTTAGATTAATTGGTTCAGTTCATACAAAAAACACCCTAAAAAAGTTTGGTGACCTCGTGTCATTAGAGACAAACAGATCTAGCTCTCTTGACGGGTGATAATCAGATTTATCAAAAGTGTAGTTTGGTACAAGAGCAAGGACAAATTTTGGTAAAATCTCACTTAAGTAAAGTCAAGGAGAAATGACGTGTGTATGCAAATCTTACCCTTACAATAGACTCCCAATTTGAGCGCGGATTACAAAATACTCCCAAAAAGAATGAACCAATCTCCGAATTGTCCATCAAAATCGGCCAGACTATCACTGAGAAGAAATCAAACACTTTATACAAAACATCACATAAAAAACAAAAAAACAAAAAAAAAAATACCCCTCCGATTCCACAAACTCTTTCTCTTTGATTTTTTTGTAAACCAATGATTTTCTATGATCATAAATTAAGCACATTCTAAATAAATGTTATAAAAAATTGATAACAAATGAATCGGACTTTTTTTTAATAGCAATCGACCGGACAAATGACGAGAAGCAATTTGTGATTTTTCTTTTTTGATGCCAAAGCAATTTGTGAAATTAGTTTTGGGTCACGTTATGTTAGTACTCGTAGGCCCCATTTGGCATCAGCGTCAGAGATTAGCGTTAACGTTTTGAAAAAGCTATCCGACGGTAACCTTTAGCGTTAGCGTTTTCAGAATTAATCTGCACCGTTAAAATTTTATCAAAACGTTAACGCTAATCGAAAACGCTGTTACCAAACAAAGCCGTATTCAATTGCGTGCCATAACGGCATAAACATGTGGGCCGGATTTGGTACTACATGAGAAGAAAAGAGTAATCTATCATATTCTTCATACTACTCCTCCGGTTTTTTATAAAATTTATTTTATTTATAAAATGGTATAAAAATAAATAATATAAATTACATATTTCATAACTCTTTGTTGTCAAAATAGAATAAAAAATATTTTATTTTATAAACTAATCAATAAAAACTCGTAAAAAACAAAATTATTAAGAGACTATCATAATAAATGAGAGGATTGTTTTTGAGCGAACAAATTTTATGTGTAATATTAAAACTGTGTACATATATTATGAAAAATCAAATTCAAACGCTCAAGTTTTTTTAGTTTATACAATTATTACACATTATCAATACACATGATATTCATAAATCTAATTCAATCGGTTCGGAATTTAAAATTAAGTTTGAATGGATTTGTAGGGAATTAAACACGCAACACACACAAATAATCTACGAGAAACGAGAGAAACGGAACACAAACGACACACAAGAATTTAACGTGGTTCGGTTTCCCTAATCCACGGCTGCAACAAGAGGATTTTCTTATTTCACTTGTGGTGCCGATTACAAGTACAAGTATGCAATATATATAAGAAGAGCGCAACTAGGGTTACAACAAACGGGCCGGGCCTACAAATCAAGCCCAAGCCTCCACAAACCCAACATTCTCCCACTTAGAGGCTTGATAGTCATCAACTGCCATCCGCCGCGATTGCTTGTACATCGAGTAATCTTCCTCAGCTCTCCTGTTACAGCGGCCCTATCATCAGACAACTGAAAGGCCCGTTGAAGCTCTCCCAAGCTCCAACACATCAGTCACGGCAAAATCTGCCCCTGACTCGTCCTCGGTCCCTACCGGCTCCCACTGCAGACGCACACTGCCGGATCCTGGAACATCCTGAGAACAAACACTCTCCATACTCAGCAAGAAATTTTCTGGAGATGTTCCAACAGCTGGAATACTGGTTCTCCTGACCCACTGTCTTCTAGGCAACTTGGCTGAAGCGCCTCTTGAGCTCCCACTGCCACAAATACCTCTGACTGGCC